TCTTGGTTGATCATTTCCAATTTATCCAGTATATGTCTTGTTTGTACATAATTGTTTTCATGTTGTCTCCCCCATTAGACTGTGAGGTCCTTGAGAGCAGAGGCTGTTTTTTATCTTTCTTTCTTTTTTTTTTTTGTAACCCCAGGACTTTAGCACATAGTAGGTATTTAATAAATACTTATTGGCTGACTGACCAACACTAATACAGTTCCTGACACATGGTAGGCAGTTAATACTTTGAATTGATTCAGCCCTATAAGATTATAAACTCCTTGAAGGCAGGCATCCTTTCATATTTATTTTCCTATCTCATCTAATACCTAACATGGTGACTTGCATGACTTGAATGAATGGATACTAACATGCTCTTGCTTTTGGTTTCTGGTTGTTTCATGTCTACACCTTATCTCCTCAATGACTAAAAAAGCTCCTAACAACAAAGATGAGTCTTATATTATTGCTTCTGTATACAGAAAAAACATTATATGTGTTGTTTTGTATACACCACCTAGTGATGAAGTGTGAAGCACACATTAAGTATTTGAGCAAATGCTCATCTAATGAATGGATAGAAGGAAGGAGAGACAGAAGGAATGGCCAGATGAGAGAGCAGCCAGTTTCTTCAAAGGTGAAAGGAGAAAAGATTGTAGGGAAAAACGTGATTAAACAACCAGTCAGATCTAAATAGCCTCAGGCAAAGTTGGTCATCCTAGACTTTGAAAATGGGCAGAAGGGTGTTGGTTGCCGATGTGGAGATTAGTATGATAAAGAATGGACTTATTTATAGTGCATGGTTTTTAAATACAGTCTTCATTTGGCATTTCTGTACTGCCTAGTATTGTTAGAACAGATCTATATCCAGTCTGTTACCAAGGCCTGATTTCACCTTTGCAACATCTTTCCAATATGCTCCCTTATCTCCACTGACACTGCCGCCACTCTGGTGCAGGCTTTCGTCACCTCATGCACAGAGACTACTGGTGGGGGTCTGTCTGTCTCATGCGTATCCCTGCTCCAATCCATCCTCCATTCAGCCACTAAGGGCAGGTCTGACCATGTCACTACTCAGTAACCTCCAGTGGCTCCCTATTACTTCCAGCAGCAAATAGAAAAGGCTCTCTTTGGCATTCAACGCCATTCATAACCTAGCCCCCTCCTACCTTTTCCAGTCTTTTTGTCCCTGATACCCCCCTCTCCACTGGCCTGCTTGCTGTTCCTCAAACAAGAGACTCCATCTCCCAATCCAGACATTTTCACTGGCTGTCCCCCATACCTGAAATGCTCTCCCTTCTCATCTCTGCCTCCTGGCTTCTCTGACTCCCTTCAAGTCTCAGTAAAATCCTGCCGTTTACAGGGATGCTCACCTGATCCCACTTAATTCTAGTGCCTTCTCTCTGTTGATTATCACCAACATATCCTATATATAGTTTGTTTGTACAATAGTTGTTGGCATGCTGTGTCCCTCTTCCCCTTGCCTCTCCCCACATTAGACTGTGAGCAGGGATTGTCTTTTGTCTTTCTTTGCATCCCCAGAGCTTACCACAGTGCCCGGCACATAGCAGGTGTTTAATAAATGTTTACCAACTTGCTATACATCTGTGATTCTTAATCTTTTTTTTGGATCATAGACTTTTGGCAATCTGATGAAATCTATGGGCCTTTTCTAGAAATATATATTGTTTTGTTTTGTTTTTTCAGGCAATTGGGGTTAAGTGACTTGCCCAGGGTAACACAGCTAGTACGTGTCAAGTGTTTGGTCTGAGGCCGGATTTGAACTCAGGTTAGAAATAATGTTTTGAAATGTATGAAATAAGATGCATAGGATTACAACAGAAACCAAAGGTTAGTAAAAATAAAGATGTAATTGATTCTGATTCAGGTCCATAAACCCCTGAAATCTAACCTTGGGGTGGCCCTTAAGTTAAGAACTCCTGTTATAAGATAGATTGAAATACATACATACATACATACATACATACATACATACATACATATATACACACACATATGGATGTGGCTATCTCCTCAAATAGACTGTAAACCCCTAGTAGATAGGGATACTTTCCTATATCCCCCATCATTGACTAGAACAGTGTCTAGCGTCTAGAACAGTAATGTCATCAGAGAGATACATGAGTCCTGATAAGGAAAAAATATATTCCTGCTAACATACATTAACAACAAAGAAAACAGGATTGATTAATAAAGTGAACATTTAATGAAAAATAAACAACCCTGGTAAATAAGCACAAAATAGGAAATCTTGATAATAACAAGAAATAGATGAACTGGAATAAAAAAGACTGCAACTGATAAAAGTTGATTCTTTGAAAAGACTAAAAAAAAATTTGTAAGCCTTTAGCTGACCTAATTAAAAGGAAAATGGAGGAAAATAAAATAACAAAATGAAAAAATGAACAAGGTAAAATCACAACACAGATATATATGATTAGAAAAGAAGGTGATCTCAGTAGTCAATGACTATAGTCATCTATTATTTGATAAACCCACAGACCCCAGCTTCTGGGATAAGAATCCATTCTTTGAAAAAAACTGCTGGGAAAACTGGAACAGGGTATGGCAGAAACTAGGCATGGATCAACATCTCACACCATATACCAAAATAAAGTCAAAATGGGTTCATGATTTAGATATAAAGGCTGATACTGTAAGCAAACAGAGAGAGCAAGGAATAGTTTACCTATCAGATTTACGGAGAACAGAAGAATTCATGACCAAACATGACAAATGGAGAACATTACAAAAAGCCATATGGATAACTTTGATTATATTAAATTGAAAAGTTTTTGCACAAACAAAGCCAATGCAACTAAGATTAGAAGGAAGGTAGAAAATTGGGAAATAATTTTTATAACCAGTCTGTCTGATAAGGGCCTCATTTCTAAAATATATAGAGAATTAAGTCAAATTTATAAGAATGCAAGTCATTCTCCAATTGATAAATGGTCAAAGGATATGAACAGGCAGTTCTCAGATGAAGAAATTAAAGCCATCTATAGTATATGAAAAAATGCTCTAAATCACTATCGATTAGAGAAATGCAAATCAAAACAACTCTGAGGTACCACATCACACCTATCAGATTGGCCAAGATGACAAAACAAGAAAATGATAAATGTTGGAGAAGATGTAGGAAAATTGGAACACTAATGCATTGTGGGTGAAGTTGTAAAATGATCCAACCATTTTGGAGAACAATTTGGAACTATGCCCAAAGAGCTATAAAAATGTGCATACCCTTTGATCCAGCAATAGCACTTCTAGGGCTATATCCCAAAGAGATCATACAAGTGGGAAAAGGACCCACATGTACAAAAATATACATAGCAGCTCTTTTTGTGGTGACCAAGACTTGGAAATTGAGAGGATGCCCATCAATTGGGGAATGGCTGAACAAGTTGTGGTATGTAATGGAATATTACTGTGCTATAAGAAATGATGAGCAGGCTGACTTCAGAAAAACCTGGAAAGACTTGTATGGTCTGATGCTGAGGGAAGTGAGCAGAACCAAGAGAACCTTGTACACAATAACAGCCACATTGTATGATAACTAATATTGATAAACTTAACCCTCCCCAGCAAATACAAGGATCTAAGACATCTCCAAAAGCCTTGTGATGGAAAATGCTATCCACATCCAAAGAAAGAACTATGGAGTTTGAATGCAGCTCGAAGCATACTATTTGCTATTTTTTTTTCTTCTATTGAGTTTTGTTTCCTGTTTCTGGTGGTTCCTCCTATTGGTTCTAATTCTTACAACATCACTAATGTGAAAATCTGTTTAATAGGAATGTATATATAGCCTATATCAGATTGCCGTCTTGGGGAGGGTGATGGGGAGGATGGGGGATAAAAATTTTAAACTCAAAAGCATATGGACGTGATTTTTGATAAATCAAAATAAATTAATAAAAATCTTCGAAAAAAGAAAAAAAAGCTATTCCAGTAGTATAGGTGACAGGTGACAAGGACTTGTACTAGGGTTGGCTTTGTGAGCAAAGAAAACATATGAAGATAGAAACTTTGATATATTGGATATGTGGGGTGAGAATGAGGAGTAGAGGTTAACCTAGAATTTGTAAACCTTGGTGATTGGGAAGATGGTGGTGACCTAGGCAGCAATGAGAAATTTGGGAAGAAGGGAAGATTTGGTGAAAAAGATAATGAGTCTGTTTTGGACATGATGAGTTGAAGCATACTGCCCTTTGTTTTTGATAGCCCTAGGCGTCTAAGCCTGGCATATCCAACTGGATATGAGCACAGGATTTTCTTGCTTACTTCTTCAGTTTATCCCTTCATGGTGATTTGAACTTTACTGATGAGCCTACAATCAAATAAGGCCCCATATTAAAGCAGCTGTGATACTTTAACATGAAAAAAAAAAGGTGATCTGCTCCTGTGCTCCAGCCCCCTCCCCCATATCCATGCAATCTCAAGAGATCTAAAGGACAGTAGATTCAAGAAATATTTATTATGCTCCTACTACATGCCAGGCACAGGGTTAAGTGCTAAGGATACAAGAAAAGGCAAAAACAGCCACTGCTCACATTCTAATGAGGAAGACAACATAAAAACGATGTACATACAAGATATATATAGGGTAAATTGGAAATAAATGAAAGCTCCCAGCACATCAGCTAGATCTCTGAGGAGGGTTTACATGACCAAAAACAACGAGTTACACAGGTGGGAAGGCTCTGATGGGTTTCCATTTGCAATCTTGAAGAAACTACACAATCAATATAATCAGAAATTGATCAGTATAGTATCATAATCTCCCTTTTAAATAGTAAGCTCCTTAAATCCTGTTTTGCCTCTGGAGTCTTGCATTGAGACTCTTGAAAAATATTCATAGAATGAATGTCTGGGGGAAAGGGGTACGGGGGTGGGGGATGCTGAAGTGTAGCCCAAGAGCTTCGATGGTTCAAAGAAAAACATTTTACAAACGGCTCTAAAGTTCGAAGCCCTGATTCAGGCAAAGCTGAGCCAGCCAGCATAGGGGCGAGGTCAGTGCCGTCCATTCTAGGAGGAGGTCATGGTCTCCGTTGCCCTGAAATCAGTATCTGCTACTCCAAAAATTTAGAAGCAATCGGCCCGCGTCATAGGACCGGCCAGCCTCTGATTGGTCAGCCGGTCACCAGACGGTCTTCCTGGGATTTGTCTGGCCTGGGGGTGGCACCTCCCAGAGTCAGAGCGGGAGTAACGGGACTTTAGGACGCAGGAGACCCCTAGTTCAGTCGTCCGAGGGACGAGTTGCCTCTCAGCGCGGAGTCCTGAGGTGCACCGCCGAGCTGTAGGGAGATCGGAACTGGAAACCAAGATCGTCCGACCCCGGAGCCTGCGAGCCCAGTGGAGCTGGGGAGGGAGATAGGGACCATGCCATACCTGCTCATTAGTACCCAAATCCGTATGGTGAGTACCTACTCTGTAGCTCTGGTCCCGTACCTCCCAGCCCACCGGGCGCTGAAACCAGGAGTGAGACAAGGGACAGCCTTCGTCCCCAGCTCCGGAGCCAGCGCTGTTCTGCATGGGGGTGCGTAAGAGTGGTGGGATCCGAGGAACTTGGGCACACCCCTCCCTCTTGTGCTGAACTCAAGCGTCCTCGGGGACGCCCTTCAGATCGCGGGTTTCCTTCTAGCGCGTTAGAGGAGAGCTCTTAGCCACAGCTACAACTCCCGGCCCCGCCCCGTGGGGAAACAGCTGCCCCCCCCCCCCCAACCCCACCCCACCCCGGCACTGAATTGGAGACCGTCCATCTGGATTGGGTCCCCGCCCCCCGAGTAGCAAGGTGGCCACGTGGGTTTTTCTGACCCAGTTGACCTGGGGCCACCCGACCTGGCTCAGTCTGTTGGGCAGGACTTTTCTGGGCATCAGTCCCACCCACTCGAGGGAAGGTCAGGAAGTCTCTTGATCCTGCCCCAGCTAGACCTGCTTCGGAAGCAAAGGATCAGAAATTTACAGGCTCTTACAGGCACACAATACCTCCCCACCTTTCCCCCAAGAATCACAGCCACAGGTATTAGTGAAATGATACCTGTATACCTGTGTAAGTTCTTTAGGGAAAAAGAATGGGATGATACAATTGCAAGGAATAGACAGACTCAGGTCTGCATAAACTACTCACTACCATTGGCAGACATGCAATTAACAGCCAAGGATACAAGCGTATGCCCATATCCAGAGCTGGTCACAAGAACACACACATACACAGAAATTCACAGTCACACACATTGGCAGCCAGGTAGCCACACACAGTCCCATCCAGAGACGCAGAGCCTCAGACACACAGTCAGAGTTATAGATACACACACGCACAACACTAGTCACAGGCAGACACACATATACAGCACTAGAAATGGAGACTCAGCTATCACTGTGGATAAGCACAGGCACCACCATGGGCTCCTGTAGGGGTCCTATAGGGTATGTTTTAACAGCAGAAGAGGCAGCATGGTACTGAGCCCTCAATTCCCCCACTAGGGGGTAGAAGTACCCCTAGAGTGAAGAGAATGAGGGGGTGGTAAAGCCAAGGTCTCACAGCTGGGAGAAGCCCTGGCAGTGCCCTAGGATGATAGTATTAATTACCTGGCTATGCCAGGCTGGTGAGGTTGAGATGAAAGAGGCTGGGGAAGGCCTTCATTGGCCTGTTACCCAATCTAGTCATTCCTGTCCCTCTCTTTGATCACTGTCCTCCCTCCCTATTTATTGTGGGTCTGAAAGCTCCTGAGGGCATTAACTCCATCCTTCCAGCTTTTGAAGAGTCCACTCAGCACTCTGACTGTAGGCTTGGCTAAGAGGCATATAAGGGAGGAGGAAGGGGGGTGATCACTTTCTAACCTGAGCAGCTTTCCCCCTGATTTCTCTGTTGCAGGAGGTGGGTCCCACAATGGTCGGAGATGAGTTCTCTGACGAGGAGCTGATGGGATACTTGGGGGCCACTAAGAGGAATGTGCTGGGAAACCTCTTGTAAGTAGAAGGGACAACCCTGGGCCCTCCACCTTCTCATCATCATCTCATTCTATGGGTCCCCTTTACTAGAGGAGTATCAGTGATAGGTTAGCTACCCAGGTTGTCTTTCTTTTTCTTGGGCAGTTCTAGGCTTTCAGAGAATTTAGTGTCTTTTGCAGCAATCTTTCAACTACTGTTCCTGCCTTGGACACTGGCCCTGCTTTCAGCTCACAAAGCCCCACCACCAGCAGGGCAGAAGGGCAAACCAGTGCTTTCTACAGTATTTTTGTGGCTTCTGAAACCACACTGTTTCTGCATAGAACTGTTGTTCGTTCCTCTTCTGTGCTTTCTCATTATGGCACCTTACCAGCCTTGCTTTAAGCCTGGTCTCCTAGGCAATAGGTGGCAACTAGAGGGAAGCAGTTTTTTCCTCAAGAGATAATTAATTCAAAGAATGAATCCTACAGGCTGGAAGGCCAGGAAGCACAGGGCAAAGCTTCCGTTTTGAGGCTGCTAATAAGTGAGCTGGCCACTTCCTCCCTACTTTGCATAATATTGTAATCCATACCCCATCAAGACAGCTTCCTTTCCACTGCCTTAGCATTAATTCATCGACCAGGGCTGCTAAGAATGGGAAGAGCCTGCCCACAATGGGTTCTTTGCTCCTGATCATAGAGACGTCATATTGAGGTGAGGACTTAGGCAACACGGTGTTGAGGGGAAGGAAGATGAGCGCTGATCCCAGCCAATGGTTCCAGGGCTCCCATGGGAGCTGCTATAATGACTCCCTTGTCCTGAGTTACCAACTCCAGAGCCGAGTCCTTCAATCTACTTAGAAGCCCTATGGCCCCAACCAAATTTGACTAAAGGGGAATTAAGCATTCTTACGGCCAAGAAAAGGCAAACAAACCTTGGTGCATCAGAGGGGTCAGTTTGGTGTCTCTTAGGACTGGGGGCATGGGGGAGTCAGCCCTCTTCCTGCACAGTCTCATGGTCCTCTCACCCATCTCTCTACAGCTGGGAATACTATGTCAACGACCCTCCCCGAATCGTTCTGGATAAACTGGAGGCCCGAGGGTATCGTGTGGTGAGCATGACAGGCGTGGGCCAGACACTTGTGTGGTGTCTACACAAGGAGTAACCATCTCCCGTCTGAGCTTGAGGCTCCTTTCAGGCCTGCTGGACCCGGAGAGCTCCCTGTGTACCAACTGCCCCATCCTCCCAAGCCCTTGTCCAGGACAGCCAAGATCCCTGTCTGGGTGGAGTGATGCCATCTTCCTGATCTGTCACATCTCCCTACCCAGCATCTACCACCTTCGTAGCAACCCACTGCAGTCAGTGACTGAGGCAGGGCATGCACTGAAGCCCCCTTGCTACGCCCCCTCGTCACGCCCCCTCATCCTCATAGCTGCCCTGCCTGCTCCATCCCTGACTGGATGGCACTGTGCAGGCCCTGACACAGCCAGCAGGAGAGTTTTCCTATAGGGAGAAGAAACCTTACCCAGCTGGGAAGCCCAATCTAATCCTAGATTTCCCTAGCTGTGAAACTGAGCGAAGTCTGAAGATGCCCCCAGGTCAAACTGTAAGCTAGTCCAAGACAATAAAGAACTGTGATGAGCAGTTGCTTTTCTGCCAGGTCCAGGGTTCTTTCTTTCACTCAATTGGGATTTTCTCCTCAAATTGCCTTCCCAGCTGTCAGAGACTAAGACTCGGACATGGATGGAGGCTTACAGGGTAGAGTACAGAAACAAGGACTGGGTTCTGCCAGTCACAAATGTCTAATACAAATCAGTTACTTTCTTCCTAAAAAAATTTATTGTAGGTATTAATTTAAGAAAAGGGAGCAGGAGGAGGGAAGAAGGGAAGAGGGGATGGTTTCTGCAGGGCTATGTGGGCATGCCCTCCTCATCCTCCCTCTGCATCTGTTCGATCAGCTTTTGCCGCTCTGCTGCCTGACGCATGCGCATCATGACGAGGCTCTCATAGTCCCTCTCTGACCGCACCGAGCCCTGTGGGACACAGAGGAGATGGGGTTAGGGGCAGCGACCACCAGGCCTGGCATTCCCTCCTTCCGAGAAAGGACCAAGGCTGGATCTGGAGTTGGAGGGGGGCCACTGAAGTCCCACCAAAGACCTTCCTTCCCCAGGTGACAAAGAGAAAGAATTCAGGATGCCTGGGAAATAAGAGAGTGACTGGGACTTCTCCCAGGCCTCTGGAGTGTATCCTGAGTCCACAGTCACTGCTCATAGTAACCAGGTCCTCAGCTGAGAACAGAGAGGAATCTGGCCTCTACACCAAACAAGCTTCCTGCCTCATCACCCTCTAAAAGCAGCTGAAATGTGATGCACCCAATAATTGTCCTCAGCTATTTCCCTCCTTGTACCCCTCACTATGTGCAGTCAATTCCAATTTCTCTTTTTAATGGCAAGGATTCTCCTGTACTCATGCCAGCCTTCACCAACTGCTACTCCCTTAACATGCTCATTCCTTTGTTCATCCCTTCCCCTCTGCTGCGTCGGCACTTCTGCTACACTGTTGTCCCCTTAGCAATTTAAACTGAAGGCATATGGCTAGGAACACTGTCAAGACAGCTTCTCTGAATGTGCTGAGATCCCCTCCCCATTATCTGTGGGTTAAGGAGTACTCTGAGCTGGCTCTGGGGGAAGGGGGCTCTGGCACTTGTATTGCCCAGCCTCCTGTTTCATTCCACATCTTTCTCAAAGTTACCCTTCTACCCAAGAGGCTTTCATTCATTCAGGCATTTTAGACTCGTGCCCAGGTGAGGACGCAGAGGCAAAAAAAGCAAGAGAAGGCTCACCCTTGTCTTAAACGAGCCCCACCCAAGAGAGGAAAACAATTGTGGGTCTGGTTCATCTCCTAAACACAGTGGAGGGCCGGGCTCGCCTATGGTTTGCTTGCTTAATGAATGCCAGGTTAGTAATAATCAGCCATCTCAATGGATAAAGTTGTGCAAAGCATGATTTAAACCACCTCCCTTGGTGCAGCTGAAGTTCGGGATGCTATATTCCCACCTCCAGTGTGTGGTGGGAGAAATCTGTGATCCAAATTGCCTCTTCAAGAAGCGAGGATCCCACATACCTCGGCGCTGAGGAAAGCCAAAGCATAGAGCGTTAGAGGGTTCTGCAGCCTCTCCCTGGGAGAAGATACTGTCAAGATACCATCCTGTGGGACATCAGGGAGTCACATTCCACTCAATGAAACGGTGAGAAAGTCTAGGGCACAATGTTCCATGGGAAATGGAAGAAGGTGCCCAACGGTTTGGGGGAAACGTCCACTAGCCTGACTCCCGGGCTTCTGAGAGCCAAGCCTGGAAGGCTGCACCTTGATCTTTCCCTCCCCTGTGCTAACAGTTCCCAGGAGAGCTGCTGTTCAGGCTAAGTTTGCTACCGCTCACTTTCCAATCCTGTTGTCCTGTGGCCCACAACCACTAGGCAATAAAATCTAATAGTTAAACACAGAACCAATAACATGATGCCCAGGGAGACCATAAGGCCCAGCATACTACCCAGATGCCATGAGCGATACAAAATGACATCGTGGTTTCTAGGCCCAGACAGCTGGAGGGGAAAGAGCCTGGAGTTCTAATCTGTGATCTTGTTCATTCATTTCAGCTCTGCTGCTACCAGGAAGTCACCTCTGAAACCTTCTTTAGTAAAATGAGGGGGAAGCACCCTCTTTCCAAGAATGCTGACAGAACCTGTCTTGGGCGTGGGGCTGGTGAAAAACTCAAGCTTAGGAACATCGTCAAGACAGCTGGGCAGGATGTCAGGCTGAAGAAAGGCCAGGAAACATCCTTAACCCTGCGGGGTCAAGAGAAAGATTCCCTCATCTGTCCTCCTTCCCCCCCAAATTGGAAATTCACCGTGTGCGTGAACTGAGCTCATCACCAGCCAGAGCCAGCGCCTTTTCTTGGCACTGTTGCTCCTTTTGGCTTCCTTCCCACCATCCATGTCTGTAGGCCTGGGTTAATGAATGCTTGTCATCAGGTTATGGGGGGGGGAGGGTGAGTCACCGCACTAGTAACCAATCCCTCCTTGTCCTCTGACAATCAGGCCACACTTCTGCCTTCCAGTTACTCTCCACCTTCCTTGTACTCCTTAGCCCTGCGGGGAGCCCAAAAGCCAGGCCATCCCTACATTAAGCCACCGGTCAATAGTGAGAAAGGAAACAACACAGTGACGTATAAAGCAGGACTGCCTCAGGACTCAGCCCGCTGGGAGGCCCCTAGAGGAATTTCCAATTCTCTACTATTGGCCCTGGGCGTTGGCAGAAGTGGCTGCCCCGATCCTGGCATTCGGATGCTGCAATTACCCAAAAGCATGAAACCCAGCTTCCTATGTGACTGAGTCAGCTAAAGACAAAAACATACCGAGGCTGCCACACACCAGCCCGAGCAGCCAAACCACTAATCAGGAGCTGGGAGGCACCAGCCTCAGAGAGGGAGCAGCCCCACACCTGCCGGGTAGGAGCAGAGGCCAGAACCGACGGAGTGGGGACCCAACTCAGTGCTGCTCAAGCCACGGCCTGCCTCCACCGGAGGCCACACGAGGCCGTTGTCATCAGAAGCTCTACGTCTGATCCACCAGGGCGCCCCACAGCCTCTCACTCCAGTAAGTGCTTCTTCCCCTCTGGGTCTTCTCCCTTGAGATCGCGAGGACCCACGCGGCTCCCTGCCTAGGGAGCCTCCCTCCCAGCTCTGCCTTCTCCTCAGTGGGACATCTTCCCACAACTTTCAGGGGCTTGTGTGCTATCAGGTGCACTGGCAAGGGCCCCGGCTGGACAGAGCCACGGAGGCTGCAAGCAGGAGACCCAGGGGGCCTCTGCCCACTGCCCCAGGTGGTCTCCCCACGCCTCCCTAGTGGGGATCAGCTGCCTCTGAACCTCTGAGAGTCAGTCCATCTCCAGGCCACGAGACCCTGAGGGCCCACAAGGTGGCCTGCTTTCCTTAGTCCCATGGAGACGTGGCGGAAAGGATCCTTCCGCAACAATTCTTTCTTCAAACGTCTGAGCCTCGGGAGACCCCGGCGACTCCGACGGCAAGGCAGCGTGCTCAGCCAAGCCAGCACTGCGGGGGGAGACCACGAGGAATACAGTAACCGGGAGGTCATCCGGGAGCTTCGAGGAAGGCCGGATGGCCGCCGCCTGCCTCTGTGGGGGGATGAGCAGCCCAGATCCACACTGCTGGCCCCTCCCAAACCCCCCCGCCTCTACCGGGAGAGTACCAGTTGTCCCAACATCCTAGAGCCCTCGCCTGCCTATGCTGCTGCGTACTCCGCCACCCTGCCCTCAGCCATCTCCCTGGCTGGAGCACTACACGAGTACTCTGAGGAGGACTCCCTAGAGGCCCCGCCCCTCCAGGAGCCACCTGCCGATGTTACTGACCCCTTCTTCTCCTTCAAAGTGGACCTAGGGATTTCACTTCTTGAGGAAGTTCTACAGATGCTGAGAGAGCAGTTTCCCAGGGACCCATGGGCCTAAATGGGGTGAGAGGGATGGGGACGGGGGATAGAAGAGACGAGACTGAGGGGAGATGGCTGAGTTGCTGACCAATAAAGGCCATGTCTGTGCTTTATCCCCGCTTGGTGAAGCAGGTGAAGAGGGCAGGGAGAGGGAGAAGAACCAGCGCCAGCCTCATCCCAGACTTGAGGAACTGGTCCTCCTCCTCCCACGGGGTGCAGTGGGGCAAGTAAGGAATGACTTCCTGGACAGGAGGACGAAGGGAAGGCTAAGGCAGGGTGGGACAGAAAAGCAGCTCCTTCCGACCACAAGCCAGACAAAGCAGGCAGCCAGCAGCACAGAAGGTGGCAGAGGGAGCAATCGGGAGATGTGGCAGGAGTGTGGCAGGCGGAGGAACGAGACAGAGGCCCAAGACCAGCCTTTGGGCAGGGGGGACAAGGCAAGCACTGTGCTAAGTACTGCCCAGGACAGAACAGAAGGGGAAGGTGGAGAGCTCCACCATGGGAGACACAGGGTAAAAAAAGTCATGTGTGCATGTGCTGGGGGGAAAGGGGGCTCTGACGCTAGAGGTGAAGGAGGGACAGCAGGGGAGGCAGGAAGAAAGAGAGGGAGACCCAATAGGGATGTTTTGTAAAAAACACCAAATCCTGAGCAGAACAGGGGAGCCTGGAATAGTGCCCCATGATAGCAATGGACTTTAGTGACTAAATGGTGAGATGGGAAGGTATGGGCAGTGGCACCAAAGACATCAAATCAGATTCAGGGCAGAAGATACAACAGGCAGTCCTCAGAATCACGAGCTTGGGACCAGCGGCTACAGATACTCAGTCAAGGTGCTTGGCACAAGGCTCCCGGAAGCACCGCTGAAAGAAGGGGGAGGAACTGATTCACACTCTCTTCCCAGGGCCTAGAAAAGATGAGGGGGGAGGAAGAACTCCTTGTCGTGGCCCTGGATGGAGAGATGGACTCTCGGCTGGTGCCTGGCAGAGCTACCGCTGATCTCACGATGCCCAGCTAGGACTGAGGAGCTGCCGGCACCTGCCCTGCCATCTTAAAACAGGCTCCTTGGACTTGGGCCACAAGACAAAGCCCAGGGCCATGGCCAGGGAACTGGAACCAGAGACCACAGGACAGTCCCCCTCTAACACTAGATGGGCCTGTGCTATACCCCAAAACCGGCTTGTGAAAGAAAAGCAAAAGAAAACTTAAGGGACTCCTCCTCTTGTCTTGTGACCTTTCACACTAGTGCCCTAAGCTGAGGGGACCTTTGTGAATGCCAGAAATAATAAAAACAGACAATACTGGCACATCAAGGATTTACAGGCCAGGGAATAACGTCCCATTTCCTGGGTGAGGGGCACAGAATCAGCCTCTCTCACTGCTGGGCTGGTATGGAATAGCAGAGGTAACTGACCTGGCGGCTGCCTAAGGAGGACTGGCCTTTGATCCTTAGGGTACAGCTGGGGCCAACATATTGAGGAGCCCATCCATTTCGCCATGGTGTAAGTCCAGGGGACACCAAAGGCTGGACACAACCTTTCTCTTCTTACTATATCCTAGCCCATCCCAAATCCTCGGTGTATTTCCTGAGTTTAGATACTCTGACCCTAGCATATGATGGACAGGTTTCATTCCCTATATTAAATGTAAATTTCTAGGGCAAGAGGACCATGGCACTGCTTCCTTTACTTAAAGCAAGAAACACTAGCACAATCACAGGAGCTCAATGAACGTTCTTTGGCCTCCTCCCAAGAACAAGAGTCAGGGAAACTGGAGGGAGCTTCTGACTTCCCTCCTGGATCCCTTGCACATGCAGTGAGCAGGGTGGCCAAAGACAGCGTTCCGGGAGAAGGAACTTTATCTCTTACGCAGAAGTCAGTCTATTCCTCTAAGGCAGGGGTTCTCCAAATGTGGTCTGGAGACCCTTGAGGTAAAAACTTTTCATAATCATGCTAAGTTGTTTTAATTCCTAATATGGTGAATATTGGTGGCTGTTATGCAAACAAACGCTCTTTGGGGGGAAAGGAGAAGGTCCTCAGTAATTTTAAGAGTGGCAAAGTGTCCTGTGACCAAAAAGTTTAGAGTGTTACTTTATGAGAGTCAAGGAGGCACGTAACAAGACAGAGGAGGAAGCAGAAAACAGGTTCCCTAAGACTCCTCCTCCCTCCCAGAAACACTAGGTCTAAGTCTCAGATACTGCAATAGCCTCCTCGTTGGTTTTTCTGCCTCAATTTGCTTCCCTCTCTAATTCATCCTCCACACAACTGCAAAAAGGCACTTTCCAAAAGTGCAGGTCTGACCCTTCCCCACTCAGTAAACTCCAGGGCTCACTATTGCCCCTGGATAAAATATTACTTCATTGTTATCTAATCCTTTTTAAATGTCAAATTTATGTAAGGTGTGTATATGTGTGTATGTGTGTGTGATTATCAGTTCACTGACCCATGTACCTAATTTCAAGTAAGTAAACATATTTGTGGGGAGTGCATAAACAAAGAATTTTTTATTGTTAGGGGTATGTGAGCAGAAAAATTTAGAAAGCACTGGCCTATGACATCCAAGAAAAGAAAAATTAGCAGAATGAAGCGCCCTTAATAATATTTATGTATCACATGACATACAACTCTCCTAATAATTATGTACATTATAAAACACACAAAAATAAAAGTCAAATCTATTGGAAAACCACAGCAAGAGAAAAAAGTTAAGCACTGAAAGACCATCAGTCCCAGTCTGCACCGCTCCTCCCAAATGAACCTTATTCCGAGTATAAAAGGGACCCTGAGAAAGGCTGGAGCAGCCACTTCTCCGTTTTTCCCTGGTAGGCTTCCCAGCTCCCAGGCAGTGCCTAACCGAGTGCTCTCTGGTGCCTTCCTACCTGTGACAGTCCAGAGTGGCTGGTGACATCACTGCTCCCTGTTCCCTGGGGCTGACCCTCCAGCCAGGAGATCTTCAGAGGGTTATTGACAAGGCCCACTTCATTCTTGACAGCCAGTACCTGCCAAAGGCAACAGTTTGACTGTCTTTATGCCACCTAACCAACTCTGGGATGGGGACCAGAGAGCTGATCTCATGTTACTATTTGAGCCCAAAGTCTACAACAAGAGCTGGCAACTTTTAACATGTGGTAGGCCAAGGTCCCAACCCTTTTTGCAGAGATCTGAACTTAATGACCCTTAAAGAAAGTAGACCAAATTTTAGATGACCCCAAGGAAAAGAGAGGTGCTAATTATCTGAAGCAAAGAGACAGCAAGTGTCTGAAAGTGTGTATGTTTGGTGGGGGGGAAGGGAACATGACAGGCAGTGGCTTTCAGAAATGGTAGAAGGAAGGTTCTGTGACAGCTTCCAGTAGCACACTGATAAAACTATCTCATTTGTCATTTGTACACTTATGCCATCAGTTACAAACCTGATTAAGAGCATCCTCATGGCCCTGCCCCTATGTAGAGCTGACTCCCACCAGCCAAGAGAAGAAATCCAGCTAAGCAGGAGACCTGTACTGTCCGGGCTGGTTTGGCCTTTGTTTCAGCTTACAGGTCACATAAATCTGTCCTAAAGTGGGTGCCAGGCCCGAAAATATCTAACTTCACCTCAAGGCCCTGATACTCACCGCAGCCTTGACAGAAGCAAATTCCACCACAGCACTCCCTGTCTTCCTACTGGAGATGACCAGGTTGAGCACTTCACCATACTGCGAGGGCAAAAAGGGAGCCTGAGTCACCCCCCAGCTCAGGCTGTTACAACAGAAGAGACATACTAGAGCTGCTGCCTAGGGTAAAACTGTGATTCATCCCCCAGCAAGATATCAGAGAGAAAGGAACAAGCATTACATTCTGGTGAAGGCCACTGGCCTATTGTGGCTCCAGGAGATCCCCTATGTACAAAAAACTTGACCACAGGCTGACAATGCCAAAGAACACAGGGTTCTGGGATCGTACAGAAGAGAAATGGGAAAAGAGCAGAACAAAAGGACAAGGAAGAGAAGGGCACCAGAACAGTGGAGATGCAGATTTGGTTTATCAAGGACACCCAACAAAAAGCTGGAAAAGACTGTGCTGTAATTCAGGCAATATCAGGTAGCTGACTTTAGCAGGCACTATCTCAGCTGGCGAAGACCACAGATGGCCAACCACACCCTCTCTCCCAATGCATTTGGCCAATTCCTTCTCTTCAGAAAAGAAGACAAGGGCTGAGGATGGGCAAAAAAGAGAGAGAGAGAAAGAGAGACAAGTGCGCCCAGAGACTAGAGGGGTCACAGAAACAGAAAACGTAGGGATGACGGTACAGGGGCCAGGCCCCCCAAGCGCCAAAGATGAGGTGAAGTCAAGCTTGGACCTGACAGCAGTTGGGGATGGAGGGGAAGTAGGACAGAGCCAGCAGGACAGACCTTCTGTAGAATCCTCAAGAGGACGTCCTTGGAGTAACCGCCTTTGGTCTCATCCTCTTTTTTATACTTCCATTTTAGCTGCAAAGAGAGCAGTGGGTGAATGTCAAACACCTAAGGGCCCGCTGGGTCCAGTGCCACACCAGGCGTCCTTGGTTTGCCAAGTTTTAGCAGGTCCTACCACTGCTTTCAGTAACCTGCAATCACTTGGGGGCGCAGCCTAAACTACAAATGGGAGGAAATGCCGAGAAATGATGACCCAGAAGCAGGGGAATTTCCAGGCCCAGACAAAGACACTTATGGACAATTCTCTGCCCAACCACCCCTGGGCTGAGAGCAGCGTTTTAAGGGCAGAACTAAGAGAAGTAGCACAAAACTTCAGGGACAAGTAGGATACAGTGGTCACAAGCGCAGGTGTTATAACACCAACAGGAGATCTCAACTCTGAAATGCTCCAACTTCCCCAAGCCAGAGCTACCTTAGCTACAGGGACATTTTCCCGTGCTGACAAGTACCTGACAAGTGATGATCCCTAGGGGCTCCAGCAGGGTCTCACCTTCAGTTTAGGTGTTCCTTTGCCTTCAGGATTTTCTGTCTTTCCTAGAAAGATTGGCAAAGGAGTGAGGGTAGAGAGTTAGGGGAGGAGGGAGCTTTAAGCTAGTGACTAGGGCTGACCAGCATCTAATCTACAAGAGGGTCCTTTACAAAGAGAAGCAAATCCATCCTCCCAGAGATAGCAGCCACTCTAAGTGGGGGAAACAAGGAGAGCAGGAGGACATATTTCTCCATATGTTGGCAGTCATCCAATAGAGGTCTCTAAGATGAGGATTAGGAATGTATCATGGCAGCAGGAGGCTGTGGGGAGGGCTCTGGAAGCGCAAGCAAATCACACAATTCCTCCACAGCAGAGGGAAAGCTCACTGGGAACCCAAGAGCCCCAGAGCACAATGATGTTTTCACCCTGGTGTTTGGCTGCTGGGACAAAGCCACTTCTGTTCAGGGCCGGGATGGCAGGGAACTGGTGATGGATGGGGGTTTGGTGTGTGGAAAGGATCAAAAGCCACCAAGTTCACAGTCTCACTCTGTTTCCCATCTCCCCCTTCCCAAATCCTTCCTAGATGTTTTTACTCTCCAATGGTGTAACCCAACAAAGCAGGTACACTAGGGCCTGCCTGAAGATCTGAACATTTTTTTTTTACCTTTTAATCTCTGTTCTCGATCTTGGCGTATCTGCTCCTGGATCAGCCTCTGTTGTTCTTCCAGCTGCCGGGAGCCCTCTTCTCGTAGGCGTGCAATCTGCCAAGCAAGACAGAAAAGGGAGGTCACATTACAACAGCAGAGCAAACATTACAATGTGAACCAGGCTCAAGTCTGCCCACACTTTGAACTTTGGGCAAGAGGCAGTCCTAAGGAGGGGGTGACCATGGAGCAAAAATAGGGGCGGGCAGCTGAAGCTTACCTCTTGTTCTAATGTCCTGGTACTTCGACTGTCCTCCTCTACCTCACTCCCTTGGGCCTGAGCTTGCCTCTCCCGGGCTTCAAGATCTGGAGAGAGATAGAGCCAACCTTACAAAGCAGCCCAGGTTGGCCTTGGCCAGGAGGGTTGAATTCAACCCTATGTGTCACAGCTTTCTTCCGTGGTCCTGGCTGGCCTGACATGGGGCCTCTCTTCCTCACTCCAAAAACCCCAAAGAAAGACTCAGGTCAGAAGGGATATCCACCTATAGTTCGCTTTTCCAGGGTTGTTTAGGGATTGATTTTATTTCTAATTCAATTCTGGTCAACAAACATTTATTAAGCCCCTTTCTGAGAACCCTGTTTTCATTTATTTGATTCAGAGTACTGAAACAGCATCAGACCAAAGGGCCCAAAAAACTCATACCAGCAAAGCTAGTTCCCTAGAACCAGGGACAAAGGGTACCCACAGGTGTGGGTATTGACACAAAAATAGCACAGCTTAGATGGCAAAGGTCGGCAGCGGGTGGAGCCCTTCGGCTCTCATTTCCCCTGAGTTCAATTTGGATTAACTGGGTACCAACTGGGGGCCTGGCCCTACACTGCTATGCAGTATTGGCAGACTTTGTATATGACATTAACCCTGTCCCCCACAATCTTCCTATTGCCCTAAAGTAGGGTTAACTGCTTTAAGATACCTCTCAGGCCTAGTGATTACCCCTGCCCTCCTTACACTGTAATCATCTAGCACCTCCTATTTCACTTAAACAGATACTGAGATAGCAGGTGATTTACTCTCCAAAACTTGCTAATCCCAAACAATGGATGAGATCCCAAACCCAGAAATCATAGCTCCCACGTTGCTGACTCTCAGGGTATGAATGAAAACGATGAACATGATGCAACATGAAGGTCCAAAACCAGTGTCTACCCCCTCCAGAAAATGGGCAGGAGGGAGGATAAAGAATGGTTATATATTACTATGGATTGTTCTGGGAAGAGCTGAAGGTACCCCAGATTCCCAGGATGGACCCAGGACAGGCCCTGGCTTGAAGACTTAGCTAAGTGGTTTTGGGTCAATGACCACTTGCCAGGCAGGTTGAGAAGGGATTCTTGGCTCAAACATGGGCTGAACCAGATGACCTCAAGTAAGAAACAATCTGCATTGTGGGAAATGGAGCCCCTAGAGGAAAAGTGAGGGGACCAGTGGATAGTGACACTAGGGAAAGAGAACCCCGACCCGCGTGATGCTCCCTCTGCCCTCGTACCAAGCTTCACTTTCTTTCTTCTCTCATCAAGTTTCTGAGTCCTCTCAGCCGCCTGCTTCTTGGCTTTCCTGACCTTGTCATATGCTGCCTGGCAAGGACAGAAGAGAACAGAGGGGAGTATCAGTCAGAGAAAGAGAACTCAGACTCACCACTGAGTCCGCCATGACGTCCTCTGAAATCCCACCAAGGATTCTGCCGATTCTGAGACTCTGTCAATTCCTAGTCCCATCCCCTCCCCCAAAAGGCTGAAGTACCTTACCGCCCCCTCAGCCTTGGGGACTGCAGGTGGCAAAGCGCTTGGGTTGCAAGCAAATGGAGAGGGGAGACTGTATCATATGGGGATAAGATTCTGGGTGACAATGAGGTCAGGAAAGGGGCACAGGAAGAGAGGTAAAGAAGAAACAGAACCTACCAGTGAGAATAGCTTATAAAAAGCAGAGATGTTCTTACCCGGGCTGCAGTATCCGTCAGCACCTCCAAGGCCTGGGAAAGCTGGTGGAAGAGCTCAGCTGGGTATAGAAACAAAAAAAGAAAGAGAAACTAAAGTTAAATTTGGTAATGGCATCCTCCATCACACCACAGATGTGCCGGCATCATAAAGACGGGATGGGCCCAGCCCCATCTGGACATATACTTCCCTATCCTTAAAAACCTCAACTATACTTTGCCTACCATCCTTTCAAGCTATCATCACTCTCCTACCTTTCCCAACCAAACACTTTATAAGTGCTTTTACCCTCCCTGCCTCTACTTCCTCTCC